AGGATACATACCTTTTGTGAACTTCTAGTTTACAAGGCGTAACCAAACAAAAAAAAAAAACAACTAAATATGCGCATCTTCTGTGACGTATCGTATTGTTTATTTCTACGTTTCACTTAACCAAAATATATCTTCCACGTTGCGGCGACTACTACACTATTAATCTTTATTTAGTTTTTATTTTATTTATTTTTTTTGTTTTTTTTTTTATTTTTTATTTTTTTTTTTATTTTTTTTTATTTTATTTTATTTTATTTTTTTTTATATCTGTTATTGAGGATTATTATACAAAATAACGATTCTTCAAGTCGATGCAAACTTTATATCAAAACAAAAAATAATCCAACTATTTTATTTTTCATATTTAAACTTTTCGTTCCCTGGTATTAAATTAAGCTTACAACCGAGTATACCACCTCATCTTCGTTTTATTTTATTTTATTTTTTTCTTTTTACTTATAGGCGAGTGTTGTACAAAAATATATCCGTATTCCACCTGAAATGTCGCCAGAACCAACAAGTGTCGCCGCCATTTCTCCCACTAGCAATGTTTTCCCTCATAACTTATTCCCTAAGGAATACAACACATCAAACTATAATAAATCAATTCAAACCGTTGATACGAGAGCGCATGCTTTTTTAGCATCACTCAACAATATTCCATCATCTGCATCAGAAGTACGAGATAATCAAGATGCCCATCGCATACAACGACAACATCAGATTTTAAATGGATCTCATACTATGAGCACTACACAATCCCATCCCTGTCAACAATCCTCTTCATCTATAGATGGCAACCACGAAAGATTGACTGACCGTAGTTCACATGAGACAAAACGAAATGGTTCCTTGGATTTATTGGTTGCAGCTGCTGTCGCTGTAAATTTGAGAGATTCGGATTATTCAAATACAGGGGTCAGTGGCTTATTTCTTATGTATTGTGTAAATGTAAATCAAACAAACAAACAACAGAATCATGTTTTCCCGTAAATAATATACTATGACAATAGTTTCAATTATATCATCATTATTCTATTACTATTATTACTATTTATTGCTATTTTATTACTATTTGTTACTACTATGATTATCATTTTTGCCCTCTTATTTATTATATATTATAAATCTATTTATTATTTATAGACTGCGAGCAAGTCAAGTCCTCCAGCTTCAGAAGTTGATATTGTAAGAAATTATAAGCATTCGATTCTTATTTTTATTAAACTTTAAATTTTTTTTTTTTTTAAACTTTTATTTTTTTAAATTAATA